ATTTTATTTATTTATTTATCTTTAGAGGGGAAGGAGAAAGAGAGAGAGAAACATCAATGTATGGTTGCCTTTCATGCATCCCCTGCTGGGAACTGGCCTTCAGGGAACCAGCCTGCAACCCAAGCATGTGCCCTGACTGGGAATTGAACCGCGTTCCTCTGATTCGCAGGCCCGTGCTCAATCCACTGAGCTACACCAGCCAGGGATATAGTGGTGTCTTTTAACAGCCAAAAGTTTTTAATTTTTATGAAATCTATTTTATCAATTTTTTGTTTTGTGAATTGTGCTTTTGATGTCAGATCCAAAAAAAATCTTTGCCTAACCCAAGTTCACAAAGATTTTCTCCTATTATTTTCCCTGGATCTTTTATAGTTCTAGTTCTTATATGCATATCTGTGACCCACTTGAAATATGTTTTGTGGGTGGTATGAAGTAATATATCATCCGTAATATATAGCAATATATCACTGTGTAAATTCACGCTTTTTCATGTGGACATCCAATTGTCCCAGAGCTGTTTGTTGAAAAGATTATCCTTTCTCCATTGAGTTGTCTTGGAACCTTTGTCAAAAGTCAATTGATCATAAATTTAACCATTTATTTCTAGATGTCTATTCTGTTCCCTTAATCTATACATTTATCCTTTCTCCATACCATATGGTTGTGATTATTATATTTTCATGCAACCTTTGAAATCGGGTAGTATAAGTTTTCCAATTTTTTTTTCGAAATTGTTTTGGTTATTCTAATTCCTTTGCCTTTCTACAAACATTTTAGGATCCACTTCTTTTTTTTTTTTTTTAAGGCTGTGGGATTTTGATAGGAATTGCACTGAATTGGTAGATGAATCTGGGAATAATCGCCATCTTTACAATATTGAGTCTTCCAATCAGGAGTGTGGAATGTCTCTCCATTTATTTTGATCTTCTTTAATTTCTCTCAGTAATGTTTTATAGTCTTATGTGTTCATGTCTTATTTGTTTAATGTCATTTTGAATGAAATTGTTTTCTCAGTTTCATTTTTAGTTTGCTCATTACTAGTTTATAGAAAAACAATTTATTTTTGTACATATATTTTGTATCCTGAGTCCTTTGTTCTAGTAGGTTTTGAAAAAAAATTCCTTAGGATTTTCTGTATACAGGGCCATTTCATACTCAAATAAAGACAGTTCTACTTTTTCATTTCTAATCTGGGTGCCTTTAATTTTTCTTCGCTTGTTGCACTAATCGCACATTCTACGGTACAGTGTTGCGTGGAAGTGGGGAGAGTAGACACCCTCGCCCTGTTCCTAATCTTCATCTTTCACCATCAGGTGCGAGGTTAGCTGCAGAGTTTTAACAGGGGCTACGTTAGTTTTCTAGGGCCCCCGTAACAAGGCTACCACAGACGGGGTGGCTTCAACAACAGAATTCTATTTACTCACGGTTCTGGGGGCTGGATAGCCAAGATCGAGGTGTCAACAGGGTGGGTTTCTCCTGAGGGTCTTTATCTGAGGCTTATAGACGGCCACCCTCTCCCTGTGCCCCCACACGGACTTCTCTCTGCGTGTCTGTGTCCTAGCTCTTCTTCTTTCTTAGAAGGGCACCAGTCATGCTGGGTTAGAGCCCAACCCAATGGCTTTCTTTAACCTTGTTTACTTCTCTTTTTTAAATGAATTTACTTTATTTTTTAGAGAGAGGAGGAGGGAGGGAGAAAGGGAGGGAGAGAAACACCAATGTGCATGAAAAACATGGATCAGTTGCCTCTCACATGCCCCTGCCAGGGACCTGGCCAGCAATACAGGCGTGTGCCCTGACCAAAAATCAAACTGGTGACATTTTAGTTCACAGGCCAGCGCTCAATCCACTGAGCCACACAAGCCCGGGCCTTAGTTACCTCTTTAAAGACTCTATCTCCAAATGTAGTCACATTCTGAGACACTGGGACCAGTGCTTCAACCAAGAAACTGGGCAGGCGAGGCAACCGCAGTTCCGCCCATCACAGGGGCCCTCTATCAGGGTGAGGGTTTTCTTTTCTATTGCTAGTGTGTTGAGAATGTTCATAAGGAAAAGGTTCGCGATTTTATCAAATGCTTCTTTTGTGTCTTTGAGAAGATCACTTGTCCTTTGTTTTATGAATATAATACATTACATTCATTGATTTTTAAATGTTAAAACCAACCTTGCATTCCTGGGATAAATCCTACCTGGTCATGGTGTTTACTCCTCATTATATGTTGCCAGATTAGGTTTTATAGCATCACATTGAAGGTTTTCGTGTCTATATTCATGAGGGATGTTGATCTACAGATTTCTTTTCTTGTGATATCTTTGTCCAGTTTGGGGTCAGGACAATGCTGACCTTGTAGAACAGGTTGGTCAATACTCCTCCTCCTCTTCTGCTTTCCAAAAAGTTTATGTATGATTGGCATTATTCCTTCCTTAAATATTTGATAGAATTCACCAGGAAAGCCATTCACGCCTCAGTTTTTCTTTGTGGAAAAAATTTTAATCACTCATTTAATTTATTTTATCATGATATGTCTACTCGAATTTCCTATTTCTTCCTGAGTCAATTTTGGTCATTTATGTTTCTAGAAATTTGGCCATTGTGCTTATGTTGTTTGTTTTCTTGATATAAAGTTGTTCTTAATATTTCCTTACAACATTTTTGATGTCTGTATTATCAGTTGTGATGATGTCCCTCCTTTCTTCCTGATTTTGGGTAATTTTGTCTTTTCTTTTTTTTTAGGTGTTGATTAAAAAAATTTTTTTTAATTTTACAATCATAGTTATAGCAACTTTATTGATAATAAAAGCTTAAAGCCTGATGGGTGTGGCTCAATGGATTGAGTGCCAGCCTGTGAACTGAAAAGTTGCCAGTTCAATTCCCAGTCAGTATACCTGCCTGGGTTGGGGCCAGCTCCCCGGTTGGGGGCACATGAGAGTTCACATGTTTATCAATAGGAGAATGAAAATATGAAATACTACCAGCAATGGATGACAAACAAACAAAAAAAACAAAAACGGCCTGCTGATACAGGCAACAACATGCGTGAATCTCACCGACATCATGTGGAGCAAAGGCATCCAGGCCTGAAAGCATGTGGGTCTGTTTGTATGAAGTTCAGAACAAATAAAGCAAATCTGTGCTGACAAAAATAAGAAGAGAGGTTGCTTATCAGGGAAGTCTGCCTTGCAAGAAAGGGGACAACCACTCTCAAAACCCACCCCAACCACACTGCAGGCTCCTGTGAAAAGTCTGGGCCCGTGAGGAAACAGCATGAAAACTGGATGCAACATCCCAGGTGCCTGGTTAGGGAGCCCAGCAGGGGCTGTCACCCCTGCTACACCACTGGACACTGAGGCCCAGGGTGGGACACTTTCAGTGTCATGCAGATCCTGGGTCAGAACCTAGGCCCTCAGGTGTCTGGCCTGGTGTTTTATCCACTCAGCTGCTCCCCACGCTGAGCTCACCCTGACCCTCCTGCAGTGTGAGCCAGGGCCCCTCAAAAGTCGCTCCACTCCAGGTCCCAAAATACGTTTTCCTACTGCCTGTCTCAAGTGTCTGCATCGTGCTACGGAAGAACTAGCCACATTCACCACCAAAGCCCAGAGGCAGGGACTGGGTCTTTTGTTACCATGGAGCAGGGCTGTGGAAATGGGACTCAGGGGCCAAGACACGCAGTGCAGCGGTCAGCACCAGTGTCGGGGAGCATGGGGTCAGGGCCCTGTACCAGCTGGCACGCGCCATGTGCTTGTTGGATGGCCCTAGGCAGGTGCCTTAGACACACTGAGCTTTCTCATCTATAAAACAGGCACTACAACTGCACAGGCTTGTCATGGCAACTAACACGAACTCACACACCTAAACATGATGTGTAAGCTCCATAGAAAAAGGTGGCTATCATTAAGCAGTGCTGGGATCCAGATGGGATAAGTTAGAGGTTGTCTGTTAGAGGCTGCACACATTTGAGGGACTAGAAGCCCCTGAGGCCTGAGGTGGGGGGCTGGCAACCCAGGCTGGCTCAGGGGTCCTTGTGCCTGGCTCTGCTCCACTCCCCAGTACCCACAGTGACCTCTGTGTTCCATCAATGTTTTTTTCAAAAAGACAAGCAAGCCCATTTGCATCTCAGCAGAGCTTCCAGGAAGTTGACACTCAGCTCCAAGAGGGTGCCAGCCTAGGGGTCAGGGGACATACAAACCCCAAGGAAAAGCAGCCAGCTTGCCCAGCTGTCTTTTGACACAGCCAAGCAGTCTCTGATCTGCCCTGTGGGGAAGGTGGATGTTCACCTGTGGCCTGCAAGACAGCCTTGCATTCTCTAAGAAATATGAGCACAGATCTGCTTCAGCAGACTCTGGTGGGATTGCATAGGCCATGGCCAGGCCCAGAGCACCATGGCAATTCGAGGCCCCCAACTACGCCGCCTGTTTGTCTGGAGGCCGACCTGTTCCCAGCAGGACTGGAGTCAGTCAAGGGTGTCACATGCTCTCCTCCCGCTGGCCTAGCCCTCTCCTGGCCTGCAGTCTGGTGGGAGGGGGTGGGGGAGAACCAGTGGGGGGGCCCAGCCACCCACACGCCCGCCAGACTGTCCTACACCCTTTTCCTCCCACAGGTGCAGCCCCTGCCCACTTCCCTACAGCCTCGGCCCCTGTGCCCCCACCTACCGGTGGCACCTGTCTGGTGTGCAGTTACCTCCTGCCCATGTTTAATTCATGGCTGGGGGTTGGGTCCAGCTTCCCAAGAAAGGGAAGTGTTCCCCTGGGGTATTGCCCAGTTCCTGCCCGCCCACAGGGCACACGGCTGTGGCCCCCGCCTCCTGCCTGGGTTTGGGGCTGAGAGTCAAAGCCACTGACGGACCTGAAGGACACTGTCCCAGCCAGGGCATGGCCACCATTTGTTAATCCCCAGCCCTGGAATGTTTGTGGGCCAATCAGCAAGGTCTCCAAGGGCTCCCCGAGGGCTCTAATAATCCTGCAATGATTAGCAGGGGCCACGGGGTCAGTGCACACCACTTGGTTTGTAGGGCGGCTGTGGGGCGGGGCAGCCTGGATTGCAGCTATCGGTCTTTTTTCATGCCAGCCTGGATGGGAGGCTGTTTTGGACGCACTGCTTACTCACCAGCCTCCTCCTTTTGTCTGCCAGCCCAGCCTGACTCCTTGAGATTGTGAATAGCTCCCATCTAGCCTGTGAAGCTAGCTGGACGCTGGACGGCTGAGCCAGGCTGCTCCTGGATCATCCTACAGGCCCCATGCTACGGCTGGAGCCCTCCCCTGGGCTGGGGGGCCGCTGGCCTGGCCTCCTGCCTGTGCTCCTGGCTCTCCTTGGCGTGGCCTGGGCAGAGGTGCAGCCACCCCAGCTGTGGGAGGAGCAGGCCCCAATATCTGGAGGTAAGGGGTCCCGGGTCAGAAGAGGTGGAGGAGCTATGACCTCTGCAGAGGGGAGCAAGGGGGCTTCTGGAAGCTAGCTCTAGGCCTGAGCCCTGAACATGCTGGTGTGCTTTAAAGAGCGACCCTCGGACAGTCTCGGGGCTCAGACCCACTGGGGAGGCTGGGCTGGAAGGGGAGTGGGCCCAGGCTGGGAGGTCAAGAAGGAATACAGCCTGGAGTTTGCAGCTGGGGCCCCAGGAGGGACAAACTGGACGAGAGGAGCCCCTGGACTTCTGCAAGCCCAGGGCTGGCCCCCTCCTCACAGCCAACCCCCAGCCCCTATTCCCGGCTCTCTCTCGCCCACCCCAGCTCTCGCCCAAGCTCCTTTACACCTGTCCCTCTCCCAGCACGACTGACTTCTCCACCTCTTGGTCTCCCCCATCCCTCTGCTCCAGACCCTCCTGCACATGCACACCATCCTCCTGTCCCGCCTCAGATCTTGTTTCCTAAGGGCAGAATTGAATTCTCATCTTGACGTGGTGACCCCCGCTTCACCACCCAGGAGACGGGCCCAAGTCCCACTGCTCAGGCGGGCCTGACCTTGTCTCCCACCCCAGCCCTGAGCAGGAAGGAGAGTTTCCTGCTCCTCTCGCTGCACAACCGCCTGCGCAGCCGGGTGCACCCCCCTGCGGCCAACATGCGGAGAATGGTGAGTGCCCCAGCCAGGGTTCCAGAGGGGGCAGCTGGAGGGGCAGCCCTGAAGTGGACTCAGGAGGCTACATGGGCACCAGGTCACCTAGCCCACAGAGGGGACCCAGTCTGGTGGCTGGGGGGCTCCACAGTCTCCTGCTTCCCAGAAGGCAGTCCTTTGGCCTTTCCTCACATCCCATCCCCGTTGTCCTGGAGACCAGAGGCACAGAAGGAGCTTCACAAAGGATTCCCAGCAGGACAGAGGGGCTGGGACCAGGAGGGGCCTGTGTGGGACCAGGACCCGGTGTTTCTCCATGGGTTTGTGTGGGCGACTGGGAGGGGCTCCTCCAAATTCCCTGCTCATACGCTGGGGCCAGAGCAGGTGGGTTTCCCATCACCCCTGATTGAGGCTTTGCAACTGGAGGTCCCAGCATGGGGCCCAGAAACCCTGCCCCCATAGTATGGGACCCCAGCAGCCCCAAGCCATGTGAACAGCCCGGGAAAAAGGGAGGGACAGGCTGGGGCAGCAGGGTTCCCCATGGCTGCCTCCCACAAACTCCTCTGAGGCTGGCTGAGCGCTGACGACCTTGGGAGCTTCCAGGGCAGTTTCCCACGAGTGGGGGCAGGACAGGCTGACAGGAGGGGTCACTTCTCCCCCTCTTCCTGCTCTGCAGCAGCCCTGCCCCTCCTTCAGGCCCAGGTCCTGGCTCCCACTCTCCCTCCCCACATTCCCAGGCCCAGCCTCTGGTGCAGAGGAGCTCCCAATCAGCTGGTCAGCAAAAACCTTAGAAAACGGCATTCTATAAAAGGTGCAAATTAAGTCCCCGAAAATGAAGTCCCTGCTTGCCTCCCTCATGCCTGTGACTTTGGCCCTGGGCACCCCTGGAGGCTCCTTGGGCTTTTGTCCAGTGGGGCTGAAGCCCTGGGGTGGTTCAGGCTGCCAAGGGGCCCCAGCTCCAGGTTTCATCAGCGGTGAAGTCACTGTGGCCCCTGCCCAGGGCCTGACCCCAGGCACAGCACTTGCCTCCCTGTATCTGGTTTTTTTTTTTTTTTTTTTAATTTTAAGATTTTTTATTTATTTATCTTTAGAGGGGAAGGGAAGGAGAGAGGGAGAGAAACATCAATGTATGGTTGCCTTTCGTGCATCGCCTGCTGGGAAGTGGCCTGCAGGGAACCGGCCTGCAACCCCAGCATGTGCCCTGACTGGGAATCGAACTGCGATTGTCTGGTTGGCAGGCCCGTGCTCAATCCACTGAGCTACACCAGCCAGGGTCCCTGTATCTGTTGAAATCTCACGGCAATCTTAGCTTATTAGTACCTCGGTGTCCCCATTTTACAGATGAGGCCGTGCAGTCTCATGGATATTAGGGGACTGCTGGAGGTCACACAGCGTAATGAGGTGGCCAGGCTGGCCCAGGGCATGGAGGTGGGGCAATGCATGTTATCCTGACTACAGAGGGCTTTGTTTCCGAAGTGGGTGCTGCTGGGTGGGGCCAGGGGGAAGCCAGCTCATGCCTGGGAAGCGAGAGCAGATTAGACCTGCCCCCGGGGAACTCTGCTGTCCAGCACCAGGACACTGGAGCCCAGGACTTCTACCACCCTCGCCAGTCCTCCTTTCCTGTTGGCACCCTAATACCCCACGGCCGGGGTGGGGGGATGGGATACAGAAGCAGGGCTGCTGCAGCTTTTGGTATCAAAGGGAAGCGGAGGGGGAGCCGCTGGGCCTTTCTGACAATAGCCAGGACCAGGTGTAGTGGACAGCACACACAGAGCCCGTGTGGGAGGCTTGGGCACTGCCCAGGGCTCACACTACCAGGTGGGAAAATTACTGCAGAAACTCATCCCAATGCTGGGACTGGCACTGCACCCCCCAGAGCCCCTGTCCTGCTCAGGGGGGTGGTGCCACGGTCAGGGCCACAGGGTGCCCCCACAGGAGCCAGAAGGATGGAAGCTCGAAGCCAGGGTGGAGCAAGCCCTAGGCTGGGGGTCTAGACAGCACCCAGGGGTTTCCCAGTGCGCCTTGGAGAGCTTCATGCAGGTCCTGTCTGGCCTCCCCTGGCCCTGGCAAAGTGGGTAAACCCCCGCCCAGAGCAGCCAAGCAGGACACCTGGCCCAGGGCTCTCTTTGCAGAACTAGCCGTCCTGGGAACATGCGGGAGATGGCAGGAGAGGGCCCCGCTGATGCCTCTGTTTATATCTCCCCCAGGACTGGAGTGAGAACCTGGCCCAACAGGCTCAGGCCAGGGCTGCCCTCTGTGGCCGCCCAGCCCCAAACCTGGGGCCCACCCACCGAGCCAGTGCACACATGGGCTGGAATGTGCAGCTGCTGCCTGTGGGCTCCGCATCCTTTGTCCAGGTGGTGGGCCTGTGGTTTGAAGAGGGCCAGTGGTACAGCCATGCAGCAGCCGAGTGTGCCCACAATGCCACCTGTACCCACTACACCCAGGTGAGGCCGGGGTACCAGCTCTGAGGCTCCAGAGCTGTGGGGGTCAGCTCAGAGTGACTAGAGTTTGTCTTAAAATTAGCTGCTGTTTTTTCTTCGATTTGCATGGTTTTACTCTTTTCAGCTTTAAATATGACATATTTCAAACACAAATCAGGTAACAGCGCCCCTGATGGGCTGTTTCCAAGCACGCTTCTTTCGTTTTTCTTCCTCTATCTCTGGCATTGTTTAGGCGCTAAGAAAAACGATGAAAAACAGGCAAAACCCCCGGCGTGTTTTCATACCTTTACTGCATGTGACGGTGTTTTTCTACCCTTTCTACTTGTGCAGGCGGGTCGTTCATTACTAACTCTCACGTAGTGCTCTGTCTCCTCTTACATTTATGATTATCACTCCGGACCAGCTTATAGGACTGACTTACATGATCTAGATACCAAATGGGTGATGCACTACGAATACACTGAAATGTACAGGCATTTAGGTTATTTTTACTTGTTCACTATTACAAGTCTCGCAGAAATGCACATAATCTGGGTTCTGATCCCCTTGTGCACATGCGCCCCGCATCTCGCTCAGACACCAGTGGAAGGGGAGGGGCTGGGTCGTACAGATCCAGCGCCTGCAAGCCTCCTTGGCTCTGCCGGAGCGATTGCCCACCTGCACTCCCACTGCAAACCAGGGCCCCTCCCATATTGTTTTTAAACTAAGTTCATACACCATACAATTTTTTAAAAGATTTTTAAAATTCATTTTTAGAGGGGAAGGGAGAGAGACAGAGAGGGAGAGAAACATCAAGGCGTGGCTGCCTCTCACACTCCCACGCCGGGGACCTGGACCGCAATTCAGGCACGTGCCCTGACTGGGAGGGAACCTTGGGCTCGCAGGCCAGCACTCAATCCACTGAGCCACACCAGCCAGGGCAGTTTTATCTATAAATAAGTATACATATCTAAAAATGACTCTTTGCCGGGATGGGGTAGCTCAGTTGGTTAGAGCATCGTTCTGATACACCAAGGTTGCAGGTCCATTCCTGATCGGGGGCACACAAGACCAACCAATGAAGGCATAACTAAGTGAAACAAGTCCATGTTTCTCTCTCTCTTCCTCCCTTCCTCTCTGCTCCAGCCCAGCATCTGTTTTGATCACCTACTGTTTGTTAAATGCTTGGAGTATCTGCCCACTTTGCACATCATTTGATGTGGAATAATGTGATCGGTGTGTGTGCTGTTTTGGTTGTGTTCATTGCTGGATTTGGTTTGCTAAATATTACTTGATAATGAAATTGTCTTCTGATTTTCTTTTCCTATACTGCCCTTACCTGGGTGATGGCAGTGTGATCCTGACCTCATAAAATGGGTTGGAGCTTTGCCTCATTCTCTGTCGCTATCACTCTCCTTTAGAACTATTGTGTCTTCTTCTATTTTTTTGTTTGTTTTGTGTATGTATATGTAGGCATGGATTTTAATTACAGACCTAGCTTTTAGAAATGGTCATAGATCATTTCAGATCTTCTCTTTTCTTCCAGAGAGAGTTTTGCCAAATTCTATTTCCTAGGAAATTGTCCATTTTATGTTTTCCAATTTATTGGTTATAACTGTTCATTTTTTAAATTTTTGTTGCAAATTTTATTTTATGAGCTAGTTATAAACAGTAGTCATTTCTTATCTTGATGTTTAGAACTCTTAGTATTTCAGATTCTAAAAAAATGAATTGGTAATGGAAAAAATGAGTTGGTAGCTAGCTTTTCACTAACATTCATGTTTTTACTATTTTCTTTCTTTGATTTTATTCAATTTACTCTTATTCTCTTTTCTATTCTTCATTTGGGTTCTTAGCTCATCGGTTTTGTCTTTTTCATTTCTGCTTTATGCATTTAAAGCTGTAGATTTCTCCCTAAACTTTGCTACCTGCATCCCAAGAGCTTTGACACTTAGTGTTTCCATCATCATTCAGGATCCCAGTGTGTTCTGTTTTTCATCAGGATGTTTTCTTTGATTCTGAAATGTGTATTTAAACTTCCAAACTATGCTTTCTTCTTTACTCCCAAATTGCTTACTGTAGATTGTATTGCACAGAATTGGAACATGGCCTGCAGGACATTGGTTCTTTGGTACTGGATGAATCTTGCTCTGTGGTTTAGTGAGGGGTGAAGGTTTGCAAGGATGCCATGAATTCCTGCAAAGAATGTATATTCTTTAATTGCTGGGCACATATATATGACCACACGTTCACTTCTCCCTGCCTCATACTTACCATTTTTAGTGGCTACCGGAGTGTGCCGAGCTCTGCCTGTGTTTTGACCATTCATTCTCATTTCCAAGTTGTCACTGATTATAAGATTTTAGATCTAAGTTTTGAAAACTATTAAAGACCTGTATCCATTAGCTTTTGTTGCACAACACACACTACCCCCAAATTTAGCATCTCACCATTCTGTAGGGGCAGTTTGGGTTGGGAGCAGCTGGGAAGTTCTTCTGGTCTGGGCCGGGCCCAGTCACGCAGCCCCAGTCAGCTGCCGGGTTGGCCAGATGCTGGGCTGTCTAGCGTGGACCCAACGGGCTTGTCTCTGCCCTAGGAGGGCTCTCACCCACCAGGAGCCTTGCTCATGTGGTGGCTTGAGGGGTTTTATGAGGGTACAAATTGCAGGGTCTCCTGAAGCCTAGGTTCCAAACTAGCCCAATACACCTCTGCTGCAAGCCACAGGGCCAGCCAGACTCAGGGGTGAGGAAAGAGAGTCCTTCTGTTGATGCAAAGGACTGCATCTGTTGATGCAGTCCTTTTAAGGGGGGGGGGGGCTGAAGTGAAAAGTGTGGCTGAAGCGAGAAACGTGGCTGAAGCAAGGCATGGCTGTTTTTGCAATCTGTCACAAGGCCTCTCGTATTCGAGTCCTTCTTTTGCGACTCTCCTCCACCCACCCACAATTTCCCCTCCCTTCAGGTATCTGCACCCCGCTGCTCCTCACCTCACCCAGAAAGCCTTTCTAGACTATTTCCAACCATCCTGTAGCCCTGCCCATCACAGTGGCTACTCCTGAGGCCCCAAGGGAGGGGAGGGAGCTGTCTGCCCACCAGGTTTGGGGCCAAAACTATATCCTCCCTCCTCAGGTGACCATCACCTGTGCTGCTGGCCCAAGACTGGCAGTGGGAGTGGCCTGATAGGATCTCTGAGCCCCTATGTCTCCTGCAGCTTGTGTGGGCCACCTCCAGCCAGCTGGGCTGCGGGCGACACCCCTGCTCTGGGCACCAGGCTGAGATGGAAGCCTTTGTCTGCGCCTACTCCCCCGGGTAAGCCCCACCACACTGCCCTGTTGGGGCTGAGGTGGGCAGGGCACTTTCACCCTAGGGGAGATGCCCACACACTCACTCAGAAGGCCTTGACCTCTTGGTTCACACCCTGTGAGAGAGGGCAGAAGGGGGTCAGGAGTCAGGTGCAGAGGTGGCAGAATGTGGTCTCCTCAGATGCCTCTTTCTGGAAGCACTACCAGCTTCAGGGATTGACCCAGTCTTAGTTTGGAGGTCCTCTTTTCTTTCCTAGGAAACCCCCAGTCTCACCCAGCTCCCTGGCTCCCTGGCAGGGCCAGAAGGAGCTGCGGGGACAACTGGGGCAGGCAGCAAGGCCCACCCCTGCCTGGCCCAAGGCCAGGCCCTTCCAGCCCTCTGGTGCTTGTTCTCACAGAGGCAACTGGGAGGTCGACGGGAAGACGATTGTCCCCTATAAGAAGGGCGCCTGGTGTTCGCTCTGCACGGCCAGCGTCTCAGGTTGCTTCAAAGCCTGGGACCATGCAGGGGGGCTCTGTGGTAAGTGCCCACCTTGCCTGCCTCCTTCTGGGCAGTGGGTGTATGAGAACTTGATCTGGTGATGAGAGGAGGGTGGCCGCCTCCTGAGGGGCAGTCCCAGGAGCCCTGGGCCTCCGCACCCAGGAAGGGCCTGCCCGGAGGCCTCCTTCCAGAGTTCCCTCCTTATCTGGCCAGAGGTCCCCAGGAACCCCTGCCGCATGAGCTGCCGGAACCACGGGCATCTCAACATCAGCACCTGCCACTGCCACTGCCCTGCTGGCTACACGGGCAGGTACTGCCAAGGTGAGGCACACCTGGGGTTCCAGATCACAACAGCATGAGGGACCCAGTGAGGGGAGTCCAGGCCCCCACACATGCAGGCAGCCCCCCGGGGGTGCAGAGGGCCTGAGTGCAATGGGCACACTCCTGTGCACACACACACACACTTCTGTGGTGTGTCCAGGGGCTACACCGCACTCACTGAGTGAGTTTCCAGGGAGCATGGAGTGTGTGAGGGGCTCTGACCACGAACATGCCGGTCGGCACAGTGCATGTGGTTATGCGGCACGTGTGCACTGAGTGCTGCCGGGCAGCCGGACCCTGAGCTGTGCAGGGGACACAGAACGGAACCCCACCGGCCCCACAGGCTCTGGGCAGTGGGAGGAAGCCAGAATTAGGACTCAGAGGTGGATGCTTCTCCCACGGTCTCCCCTCCCCAGCTGTGACCACGGGCAGGTCACCTCCCAAACCCCAATTTGCTTCTCTCTACAACGAGGTCAAACGGAAGATGCCACGTGTGGTGGCGTCCCGCCCCTCAGAGGGGTGGTCTCTCTGTGGCCAGCCAGTCCCTGCACGTCCTCGGCCTGGGAGGGGCAGCATGGGGCCCAGGGGCTGTGCCGAGTGCGGTCTCTTCCTGGCCCTCCTGGCAGTGCGGTGCAGCGTGCAGTGCGTGCACGGCCGGTTCCGGGAAGAGGAGTGCTCCTGCGTCTGCGACGTGGGCTACGGGGGAGCCCAATGCGCCAGTGAGTCGTGACCTGAGAGCCCCAAAAGTCCGGCCCCTCCCGGGACCCCTCACTGGTGCGCCGGATCCGGCTCAGACCTGCTCATGGTTGCCTGTCCTGCACATCTCTTCCCAAGTCCATGTTCAATGACATTAGTAGCTTGAAATGAACCGTGGTGTGGGCATTTACACCACAGAAATTGGCAAGTGCTATAAATCAGAAATTTCACTCGAGGCAGAGAGCTGGTTGCTACACACTTACCAGCAGCACAACACTGCTCCGTGCCTGGCGCCTCGAGCTCCGCTCCCTGGCAGGGTGGGCGGGTTCACCTCGCTGACATGAGACCCCCCACACACACACACACTCAGGCTGCCCCCTCCCCAGCCAGGGTACACTTCCCCTTCCACTCCTGTGACTTGAGGATCGATGGGAACTGCTTCATGGTGTCTTCAGAGGCAGACACCTATTACGGAGCCAAGATGAAATGCCAGGTAACAGCTGACCCCTGCCTTCCCAGGGGTCCCCCTGGGGTCTCAAGCAAGAGTCTTAATGGAGGGATGCTGGACTATGAGATGGTTCCTTCGACATCTTCTGACCCGATTCTCATCATTAGCATAAAGCAGGGTCCATTCAGAGGCCCATAGAAACCACGAGGTCACTTAATGCACTGAGGGACCAGGGATGAGGCCCACCAACCTCCATCTAAAGAACTGTCCCGACTCAGCGCCACCTGCTGGTGGTGAGCAGGTTCGGGGAGGCCAGAACTTGAGCGTGTTTTAGGAAAACCAGAAATTCAGATTTTCATAGGCATCTCTAGACTTATGAATGCTGGCAGCCAAATCAAACATATTTAAGGCACTGCGCAGGTAAAACAAACCCTTCCAATGGCAGGGCGCTGTCAGTCTGGACCCCTGGGGTGGGGAGGGGGGCCCACTCTAAGAGGCAGGAGGCTGTGGTGGGGCAATGAGGACCCAGCACCCCCACCTGTTGTCTGTGGCCACCGTGGGGTGGCAGGAGGGCTGGCCTGAGACCTGGGACCCGGCCGGCATGACCCAGAGCGGGTGTTGCAGGCAAAGGGCGGGGTCCTCGCCCAGATTGAGAGCCAGAAAGTACAAGACATCCTCGCCTTCTACCTGGGCCGCTTGGAGACAACCAACGAGGTAACCGACAGCGACTTTGAGACCAGGAACTTCTGGATCGGTGAGTGTGGGGCTGGGATGCCCGTGGTGCTCCAGGAATCTGGGCCAGGGAAACCAGAGCCCCCCCAGCTGACAGTGAGGGTGTGGCAAGGGCTGGGAGTCAGGGCTGCAATCCCCTCCCTGGGGAGAGAGCCCAAGCAAGAGAAAACCACAAGGGGGGCCAGAAGAGCAGGGAAGGGGGTTTGGGGGCTGGGACCAGACAGGCCTTAGGCCGCGGGCTCAGGGCTCGGGTCCTCCTTTCCTGGGTTGTGGGGCCAACCTTGGCTGCCCTGGCCCAGGGCTCACCTACAAGGCCTCTAAGGACTCCTTCCGCTGGTCCACCGGGGAGCACCAGTCCTTCACCAGTTTTGCCTTTGGGCAGCCTGACAACCAGGGGTGAGTCTGGGGTGCCCCCCTCCCCTGGGCCCACCTTCTCCCCTGAGTCTGCTCGCTAAGCTTCTAGTCACCACCGAAGAACCTCCACCCGGCCTGCTGCCTGGCTGAGCCCTCCAGGGCCTGAGCCTCACCAGATAGCCAGGTGCCCAGGAAGTCAGGGCCCAGCTGGGTGCTGAGGTGGGGCCCATCCTGGGCCTCCAGGTGTTCACATAAAAAAGGAACCCAAGAAGGGAACCCACGGCCCCTCCATCTATTACCCATGCCCCCCGCACCCTTGGGTTTGTATCAGTGCACCGACTCCTGAGTTCTGGAGCTGTCCCCCTGCTCCCATTCACACAACATCCACCCACCCACCAGCCTGTGCTGAGGGCCTTCTGGTTACACGGCCCTGCCCTGGTCTTCAAAGTCACAGGAATGCCTAGGGCAGGGGTGATAGGGGTGGAGGTGGTCAGGCTGTGTGGCCACCAAGGACTCCAAATATCTCACCCAACCCTCCCTCGACCTCCTTGGCGGCAGCGAGACCTGTGCCCCTGGCCCACTTCCTCCAGGCAGTGAGACTGGTCTGGCGCTCAGGCACACCTCTCCCTGCTGGGTGGGAGGACCTGGGCATGTCTGTTCTGGGCTCTCCCCTCATTGGCTGGTGTGGCTGAGCACTGGCAGTGGGTGGGTGGAGTTGCAGCCCCAGGTAGGGTGTGTGCCAAGATCTCTGGGCTCCCCTGGGGAGAGCTGCAGTGGTCTGGGGAGCAGTGGAGGGAGCTTGGGTTGGGTCTGGCTCCCAGAAACCCCATACACAGGACAGAGGCACTGAGGCCTCTTAGACGAAGGGGCCTACTGCAATGGAGGAGTTAAGCCTCTCCCGCACTCCTGACATCTTGGCCCAGCAGGTTTGGCAACTGTGTGGAGCTGCAGGCCTCAGCCGCCTTCAACTGGAACGACCAGCGCTGTAAAACCCGAAACCGCTACATCTGCCAGTTTGGTGAGGGCCCTCCCACGGCCCTGTGGCCTTGTCCCCTGGGGTGGCTGCCAGCCCCATGCAGTCTGCCAGGACATCCGGACCGCAGGCCTGGAGAGTGCCCGGGCACACAGGGTCACTGAGAACGCCCTGCTCCAGGCGGGCACCTCAGAGGCCTGGAGAGAGGAGGCGAGCCCAGCCTCACCAAGTGTGGCCTTCACACAGTGGCCGGACTAAACGCACGGCCTGACCAGGCTTTCTCCAAGGGCCCTTCCTCCTGTCACTGCAATTGCTTCCTGGGAGGCCTGTTGGGCTCCTCAATGTCACCCGACTCTCTAGAGCCCAGTGAACTCTGGTGGGAGGCAGAGGGGAAGCCCAGCCCAGAGCTGGCTCCCAGTAGCACCCGCTGGGAGGGTCTGGAGCTACACGGGACCATAGCCAAAGGTGCTTCTGGACAAAGTGCAGCAGGGTCCCCACTGAGCCTCGCTCTGTTCTGCTTCCTTCCCAGCTCAGGAGCACATTTCTCGCTGGGGCCCAGGGCCCTGAAACTCTGCCACGCCTCTCCCTTGCCTCTCCCTGGGTGCACCAGCCCTGCTTGCCGATTTGCCCATGTCTCTGGAACAAGGGCCAGGCCAGGACCTCAAGCCCAACATCTGAAGAGGTCCCAGACCTTGCAGGAAGTGGGGAGGGGCCAGTAGGGAGGCTAGCAGAGGGGAAGGGGAGCCTGGGGCCCCTCAGCCTGCTTCTGATCAGGGAGATGGGCCTCAATTAGGTGGTGAAACAAGAGCCAAGGCCAGGGGCAGACTAGACCGAGACCGCTCTCCTCCATCTGGGCTGGACCCTCTGGGGCAGATGGAGGTTGCTCGCAGCTCAGGATGCAGCCCACAAAAGATTAAACTAAGTTATGGAACAAACTTGTGGATGCTCATTTCGAAGGGGAATTCAGATGAGCCAGGATGACCCTGGAGGACCAGAGAGAGCCTGAAGCTCAGTGCCTCCTGCCCACCAAGCCCCCTGCTCACCCACGGGAGACCCAGGCCGCCCTCTGGATGCTTCCTTGTGCCCTTCCTTCCTGAATAATGCATAGATACAGAAGCCTCATTTGCATCCCTGATGTCTTGCTCCAGCTCCTCTCATCACTGCCTCTGTGGGCTTGTGTTTCTGTTCGCACCCTCTCCCTTTGAGCTTTATGCCTGCTCCACGTGCTTCTTCTTTCTTTGTGATGATCTACACCAGGGTGTGTGCTGGCCCCGTCTCCCTCCGCTTCCTGCAGTGGTGAGAGGGTCCAGGCAGGCACTGTCACTACCATCCATAACGTGCCACAGCCCACTTACATGCTGCTGTGTACGCACCCTGAGTTGCTTTGCTGGTTGGAGGTAGAAGTGTGGCCTGGGGCCATGGTGGGGTGGGGTGGGGGGAAGAGTGCCAGTCACAGGTCTTAGCTGCAACTGATAAAAACAGCTCTGGCTAATCATGGCAGAAAAGTAACTGATCCTAAGGACGATGATTTTAAAATGGGCAAAAGCCCAGCTGGTGTGGTTCAGTTGACTGAGCATGGGCCTTTGAACCGAAGGGTCACCAGTCGGATTCCCGGTCAGGGCCTGTGCCTGGGTTGCAGGCCAGGTCCCCTGCGGTGGGTGTGTGAGAGGCAACCACACATTGATGTTTCTCTCCCTCCCTTCCCCTCTCTCTAGAAATAAATAAACATAACCTTAAAAAAACTCATCAAATTTTACAGTTGAAATAAATGCATCTTATTGTATGTAAACTATAAGAAAATAAATAAATAAAATAAAATGGGCAAAGGACTTCAATAGATATTCTCTAAAATGACATGCAAGTGGCCAACAAGCGCATGAAAAGTGATCGACATCACCAGTCACGAGGAAATCCGAACCAAACCACATGGGACACCACAGCCATCAGGACAGCAGTTTCGGAAGGAACAGACGGTAATTCTTAGGGAGGATGGGGACCGACCAGAGCCCCTGGGCACTGTTGGTGGGGGTGTACCATGGTGCCACCACTGCTAAAAACTGTTTGGCAATTCCACAAAAAGTTAAAAGCAACTACTGTGTGACCCAGTAATTCCGTTCACAGGCAGGCGCCCAAGAGAACTGAAAACAAGAACGCACACCAATTCCTATAGACAAAGTTCACAGCAGCAGCATCTACAACAGCCAAAGGTAGACACAAGCCAAATGTCGATGAATACGCAGGAAAGTCGTGGTCTGTACATGTAACATCACCCAGCCATGAAAAAGAATGAAGTGCTGACACACGCCCCAAGGTGGGCGAACCTTGAAAACGATATTTTAAGTGAAAAAAGCTGGTCACAAGAGGTCACATATTGTATGATTCCATTTATATGAAACATTCAGAACAGGAAAACTTGCTGAAATAAAACAGACTGGTGTTGGCAGGGGCAGCAGGAGAGGGTACAGGCTTTATCCTAGAATGATGGACATGTTGTAGAACTTAGACAAGTGTGGGACTTAGAGAAGTTGCAGCTGTGGATGGACTAAGTGCACCACACTGACTGATTCCATGTTATGAAAATTTCACCTCGGTTTAAAAACTGAAAAAGGGCAATGGTTGGTCACAAGATCCTGGGGAGACTCCGAGAGCCAGGCTGGGCACCTGTGTGGCCAGAAACGCCGGCCCGAATCCCACTGTGGAGCCAGTCTGGGCGGACCCCCGTACCCTGCCGCAGGCATGGGAACTGCGGCGTGCGCTCCAGCAGCCACCACACGGGAGCCACCCCTGTGACAGTGCCCCTCCACCAGACCGCCAGCGCTGGTAGCCAGGGCCCTTTGGAGCCTCTGGCGTCCCAGGCACTGGATCCGCCTTCGGCTGCAGCATCCCTGTCACCATTCCTGCCACTCCTGTTTGTCCCTCACCATGTATTTCTGGACACCGTGGCAAAGGGCACGCCTTTGGAGGCTCCTCGGGCTCGTGGGTGGAGTTGGCAGTGAGTGGGTCCTACCTGAACAGTCCACAGCAACCTCATCTGGAGTTAGCACAGTGCTGTGGTTCTCCTCGGACCGGTAGCATTGGCTTCACCTGGGAACATGTTAGAGAAGCAAATTCTCAGGGCCCCCAAGTTGGTTTTGTCCTGGGGAAACTCTGAAGGCGAGGTGGGTTATCTGGGCTTTAACAAGGCCTCCGGCTATTTGCAGGCTCTGGTTCTAGAACCGCAGGCAGAGAGAGGCAAAGAGCTTGGGTCTAAAGCCAGACCACATGACTTTGGGCAAGTTATTTAACACAGAGGGGGACCAGCTGTCCCAGTTTGCCTAGAACTGTCCCAGTTTCAGCCAAATCCCACGTGCTGGTGTTACAGGAGAAACTCGGTTGTTCTTGCTGTCCCAGTAAAGGATTACAGATCAGCAAGTCTGTTGGTGTGCAAGCAGGGTTTATCAGTGACAGCCTCTCCTGGAAGAGAACGGGCCTTGCCGAGGTGGGGGGAGAAAGGCATAGGTTCAGGGCAGGGCAAGGTAAGGGCAGCAGGACTTACATAATTGGCCAGATGGGGGTGAAGAAGTCACATATTGATCGACAGATAAAGGTGCTGCCAGCTTTCCTGGGGGGATGTGACGACCCAGACTTAGGTATGAGTGGGGGTCTGTTAGCCCGAAGCCTTATCTTGCTCCAGACCCCATTTGTTCATCTTGTAAAACACTTAAGTGACAGAAGGCAGTTAATTCAAGTTACCCAAAGTTATTTAAGGGCTCTTTCTGGAAGCATTAGGGACTCCCTCGCAAAACAGATAGTGACCAGAGGTAGGCAATTAACCAAAGTTGTTTTCTGGGCTTCTTCTTCGGGCATCGGGGACCCCTTCCACTTCCCCTTCTAAACCTTGGGGTGAACACACAGTTTCAAGGCTTTCTTTCCCAGACAGTAGAAGCTATGCGTAGACTTTCAGGGGCCCCTCCTCCCGTGCTAACATGGAGTTTCTCGTGGTGTTGGAACACCTGGCAGTGTCATCGGACCGGGCTCTGGATGCTGAGCTAGTGGGTGAGACACGTCTCCCTCCTCCTCCCTGCCTTGGTTTACTATCTGTCCTACCTAACACTGAGGAACCCCTCTGTCCCCAGCAAACCAGGACAACTGGTCACACTAAAACAGCGGCCCCCAACCTTTTTGGCTCCCAGGACCCAGTTTCCTAGAAGACGATTTTTCCATGGACCAGGGTGGTGGGAGATGGTTTCAGGACGGTTCAAGTGCATCACACTCAAGCTCACCTCCTGCTGTGCAGCCCGGGCCCCTCACACGTCTCTCTGCCTCATTTTCTTCTGTAAAATGAGGACAGTAAAACAAGTTAGGACATTAAAGTGTTTGGGACAGTGCCTCCGGAGACTGGTGAACACTGATGACTGTTAGCTCAGCTAACCTTTTTATTCCTTCACCAACATTATACCATCTGAGCCACATTTGTTAACTAAATAAAGTTTAAATAAGTACAATGCTTAAAACTGTGCCTGACAGACAGCAAATGCTCAGTAAGTCTTAGCTATTCTCATTCTTCTTATTATTAGCTCTTAGCTAATGTTTTTTGGCCACGATTGAGTCTGAGTTTTAAGTAACCATTAGAGCAAACAATTAGAACCATCCCAGCTACTCAGATAAGCCCCATAGAAGCCTAAATACCAAAATATTCAATCCCATGGACATTATTTTCTTCCTCCCCCACCCCCAGTCTCCACCTCAGAATCCACTCCTGGATCACTGTGCTAGGTCTTTGCCAACATAAATTAGCAAAATCTCTCTGTTCTTTTGGTGATTCAGTCCGCATCCCAGACTTGAAGTCATTGGCCCTCTGGGGCCTGCAGGGGTCTGCCTTGTCATTTCAGTCCGGAGAAAATAAAGGGAGGTGGGGAAGGGCACACACGGGGACTCCAAGGTCATTACGAGATCCTTACTTCAGGAAATGCTTGCTGCTGGCCAAGGCTGTACAGGTGCCCTGCGGGCACGGGGGAGCCAGGCTGAGGGAAGCCCTGCCAGCTGAGCGCCTGGCTTCCCAGCTCACCCAGGGCACTGGCCTGCAGGTGGCTCTCTCCGGGAGAGAGTGGACGCACACTGGGAGGCTACATGAGCCCGGGAGAGGTGCATACTCTGCCCACCCACAGCCACTGGCCACCCCTCGGCCACGCGGGGCACTGACTACCGTGGAGGTTGGGAAGCTCCAGCGGGATGTGTGCCCAGGAGGAGAGGGGTGTGGGTTTGACACAGAGCTCGTGAGTCTCTGCCACCACAACCTTCAGCATGACCCAGGGAGGCTCAGTGGGGGTAGACTGAGTCCTCCCCATCTTCCTACAGAGACCTGGCGAGGGTGTGAAGCCATCCGATGGTGTCTCTCTGATCTAACCACTGATCAAGCTTGACGTTTGGTCCGCTCTCTCAGCCTTGCAGTTGCTAGTCACGAAAATCCCCTGGCTTTCGAACCATGCCTTAAGCTGACCTTGAGCTGATTATTTGGACTTGGGCTTCAAGCTTGTCTTTTTTCCCTTGAACTGTGTGGTGCCACCAGCGCAGTGCCCTGCCCAGCAGCCCTTGACTCCAGGGTTCTCTTTATACTGATCTGTGGCAGGAGCCCTCAGGCCCCCAAAGCCTTGCCTCCGATGGGCACTTTGCTCTGGGTGACCGCAGCATTAACTGAGTCACCACTGCACACCCTGGGCCGCTGGCGTCCTCTCCCTTTTAATACTCGCAGGATTTTCACTCTCCTCTGACCTCCTGCCAGCCTAACACCACCCTGTTCCCCTCAGGGTCTCCTGCTGCATCCCCTCCCCACTCCTAGTTCTTTATTTTTTTAATCCTCACCCCAGGACATGCTTATTGATTTTAGAGAGAGGGGAAAGGAAGGAGAGAAAGAGGGAAAGAAACATTATGTGGGACTTCCGCCAAGATGGAGGCATAGGTGGAGACGCCGAGCTTCCTCACACAACCAAGTTTAGAGACAACTAAATAATAGCAACAGAAAACACAGCCAGAACACAGAAAATTGAACTTTTCAGAAGTCTGATAACAACAAATTCTTCAGCCCGACCGGTAAGAGGGGTGAAACCAGCAGCTGGCAGAGCGGGGTAGCATAGGAAAACTCGGTCAGACGGACTCAGGCGCGCAGAATCCAGGCGCAGGGTTGGACCTGGTGGGCAACTCAGCAAGCAATCTCGGGGAAACAGCGAGGGAGCAGGGCTGCGGGTTGACTGTGGTCACGCATTCGTGCGCGGATAGACAAGCGAGGGAGTGGGCGATTGGACGAGAGCCAGCAGCCCCAGCGGCAAACGGCGATGGAGGGTGCCACCAAGTCCCTGCTCTAACCCCACCTCCACATACAGCGTCATAATCCAGCGACTCTGACTGGCCCGGCCCCGGTGAACAACCTAAGGCTCTGCTCTTCACCCAGCCGCCCGAAACAGCAGAGGGGGCCACCATTTCCCTGCTCTGACCACGCCCCCACATACAGAGTCACAACCCAGCGACCTGGGAGTCCAAGACTCCGCTCCTCATACTTAAAGGGCGCAAACAGACCAAAAATGGCACAAGAAGATCTCAAAGCCCCAGAGCCTATAAATCTAAGCGATGAAGAAATAGCAAAACTCTCAGACACACAATTTAAAACACTGGTGATCAGGATCCTCACAGAACTGGTTAATTATAGCCACAAATTAGACGAACATATGAGGGCGAAACTAATTGAAATGAATGGAATTGCACAGGAAACCAATAGCAATGAAAAGGAAACTGGGACTCAAATCAATGGAGTGGACCAGAAGAAAGCAAATAATGGCCAAACAGAAAAGAGTCAAGAAGCAAGAATTCAAAGAAATGAGGAGAGTCTTAGGAACCTCCAGGACATCTTTAAACGCTCCAACATCCAAATTATAGAGGTACCAGAAGGGGAAAAGGAACAGCCACCAGTGGAAAACTTATTTGAACAAATAATAAAGGAGAATTTCCCCAATCTGGCAAAGGAAATAGTCTTCCAGGAAATCCAGGAAGCTCAGAGAGTCCCAAAGAAGTTGGACCCAAGAAGAAACACACCAAGGCACATCATAATTACATTAGCCAAGATTAAAATGAAGGAGAGAATCCTAGAAGCAGCAAGAGCTAAGGGAACAGTCACCTACAAAGGAGTCCCCATCAGACTGTCAGAGGATTTCTCAAAAGAGACCTTACAGGCAAGAAGGGGCTGGAAAGAGGTATTCCAAGTCATGAAATCCAAAGACCTACAACCAAGATTGTTCTATCCAGCAAAACTTTCATTTAGAATGGAAGGACAGATAAAGTGCTTCTCAGATAAGATCAAATTCAAGGAGTTCATCATCACCAAACCCTTATTATATGAAATGCTAAAGGGACTTATCTAAGAAAAAGAAGTTAAAGAAACATGAACAGTGAAAGGACAGCAAACTCACAGTTATTAACAACCACACCTAAAACGAAAGCAAACTAAAAGGACAGCTAGATCAGGAGTGGAAACATAGAATGAAGATCTCAAGGAGGGTTAGCAACAGGGGAGTGGGAGGAGGAGAAGGGGGGAGAAGGTACAGAAAATAAGTAGCATAGACAGTAGATAGAAAATAGATGGGGGGGCAAGAATAGCATGGGAAATATAGAACCTAAAGGACTTGAGACACATGGACATAAACTAAAGGGGGGTAATGGTGGAGATGGGGGGGTAGGGTGGAGGGGAATGAAGGGGGGAATAGAACAACTGTAACAGCATAATCAATAAAAAAAAAAAAAAGAAACATTATGTGGGAGGGAAACATCGATCAGTCGCCTCTCACACAGACCCTGACCAACCAGGAACCGAATCCACAACCTAGGCATGTGCCCTGACCAGGGATCAAACCTGGGACCTCTCCATTCACAGGATGATATTCCAGTCAGCTGAGCCACATTGGCTCCTAGTTCTATTTTTATATCAATCAAGGTTCTTAGTTCTAAGCAGTAGACGTTGATTCTGGTGACTCCAAGCAGAAAAGGAAAGTGTTGAAGAAACTGGTTATTCCCGAGAGATCCAGGACGTTGAAGGGTCAGATCTGAGAGAGACCTGCCGCCTCTGCTGGGCGTGGGCGCCACAGTCAGCACCCCCGATGTGGGGTGGATGTCCCATCACCTTTGAAAGCTGCATGTGGCAGCTGCCACCGTCACCATCGATTCCTGAGATGTGCTCCTTCCCATCAGCAGCTTTAATTTAAAGTTGGGCGTGTGACGCACTGGCTGGTGTAGCTCAGTGGATTGAGCTTGGGCCTACGAACCAGAAGGTTGAGGTTCGATTCCCAGTCAGGGCACGTGCCTGGGTTGCAGGCCAATTCCCAGCATGGGACACATGAGAGGCAACCACACATTGATATTTCTCTCCCTCTCTCCTTCCTTTCCCCTCTAAAGATAAATAAATAAAATGTTTTAAAAATAAATAAAGTTGGGCATGTGGGTCTGACTTGAGGAATCAAATAATGTACTCAGACCTTAGCTGCAAGGGAGGCTGGGAAAGGGACATTTTTAGCTTCTTTCATGGGAGGCAGTTTCTGTCCCAAAGCTGGGGATACCTCAGTTGTGGAGTGGCCAGAAGGATGACTCACATCTACTGCCAGACGCCACCTGGGGCACCCAGACTCCAGCCTACCGTGCTGGCCTCGTCAGCCCCATGCTCTACCCAGGGGTCTCACCAGCCACTGGGTTCTCTGCGGGGCAGAGCAGGTGATGGAGCAGCCCCACGCAATGGCAGCATGGCCCGGAGGCACAGGCAGAACCAGGCTCCGATGGAGCTAAGTATCCTTGAGTAAGTCCTCTAACTTCTGGGAACACTGTAGTGGTTGTGAGGCAGGGGATGGAGATGTCACTGTCCTCCCAATTTGCTGTTCGCGTGGCCTTTCTCTAGGATGGGGGCACTATAACATCTACTCTGGGAGGCTGTCCTGAGGATTAGATGAGATGACGGTAAAGCCTGTCACACAAGGCCTGGCAAATAGTCCCAGTTCAGGAACCGAGAGCTGCTGGTTGCAAACTCTAGTGCTGGGACTGAAAGGTCCCTTTCCTTTGTCCCTTGAAACTCTATGAAAAAAGTAAACTGCTCTGCGTCCGTCTGATGAATCCAGGGTGGGCATGTCTGGGAGTCAGCTCCAGGACTCTGGGGACCCATCACTCACTGTGTCCACCCACTTCTGCTTCTCTCCTGTTCTTTTTCTTTTTTAAAGATTGTATTTATTTATAGAGAGAGGGGAAGGAGGGAAGTAAGGGAAAGAAATATCAGTTGGTTGCCTCTTGCATGCCCCAACAGCACGCCCCCAACCGGGGAGCTGGCCCACAACCCAGGCGTGTGCCTCGACCGGGATCAGACTATGATGCAAATGTCGGGAGGCTAAAAGTTGTCCCAGAGGGCTCCTTCCACTGGGTTCCTTTTCCGGGGTTTGTTTGTTTGTTTTTGGATTCTTTTTTCTTCTTGTTGTTCTGATTGGTTTTCTGTTCCCATGCTTTCCATGTCATTGCTTTGATTCTCAGCTTCATCCACTCTACTACCGACTCCCTGTGAACTGGTCTTTATTTTCACTAGTACCTTCTCCACTATCTGCCTGGGCCCTTTTTACACTGTGGTGACACTCAGTTCCTCGAGCATCCTTATGACCAGTGCTTTGAATTGTGCCTCTGGTACATTGCTCATCTCCAGTCTGTTTAGTTTTCTTTCTGGAGTTTTGATCTGTTCCCTCATTTGGGCCATGTTTCTTTGTCTCCTCAGTTTGGCAGCCCCCATGTTGGTTTCTGTGTATTGGGTACAGCTGCTGTGACCCCTGTCTTGGTGGTGTGGCTGGTGTAGTGGGTGTCCGGCAGGGTCCAGTGGCACCGCCTTGCAAGAGCCAGAAGTGTGCAGATCCGTGTGCTTTCCCCCAGGGCCCCTTTGGGGTTTTTCTGAACGCGTCCCCAGAGGAGCAGTGCTGTGGCCCCTCTGAGTCCCAGTACAGTTTTGACAGCCAAGTGGGCCATGGATGTCGACCACAGATTCAGGAGGAAGAAAGGGGGGGACCCAGGAGGAACTTCAGAGTCACAGGTGAAACTCTGGGGTCTGATCCGAACCCACAAACAGAAACCAGAATTGATTTAATGGAGCTCCATTCACATATTCAGCAGGCGGAACCGAACACCCACCCATGGTGGCCCCGAGCCGGCTGCGGGGGTGTGGCAGCCTGTTCTCCACTCCATCTCTAGAGTGGAGAACACCGAAAAAACGCAGAAGTGAGACAGTCTGCCCATGGCTGGTGCACAGATGGCCACGGCCCTTGCCTTCTCAGCCCTCTCCTGGGTGGGTTCGGCTGACTTCGACTTCCCCACCGAGAGAGGGCAGTGGGGGTCAGCTCCCTGGCCCGGACTGGCTGCTCGCTTGGTTTCTCACGCTGGCCACTTCAGATGCAGCCAGCGCAAGGGCTTAGCCCAGAGGCAGCTGTGGGGTGTGGACCAGGCAGCAGGGCCAGCAAGGGGTGGGCAGACAGGCAGCTGGAGAACACTCAGGAGTTAGCCGGACAGGACTGCGTGTCTCCTCAGAGGACGCGAGAATCACAGACATCCCCACTCCTGCATTTTGACGGTGCCACTCCCGATTCCAGGGCCTGGGAGACGGGGTGATACCCATGGTGTGGGGTCTCTTCTGTAATTATTTGTATAATGGGAAGTAGGTGGTTCTCTCCCATGGCTGTCTCAAAGTGGCAGGGCGGGGTTCATTTCCTCTGACCATGAAGATGGCCCCTCTGGAGCTTGAGTCCAACCTGGGTGAGTGGATTCGGGGTCCACAGGAGGCCAGGTTGGGCTGCCAATTACTGCCTTTTGGAGTGCACTGCCCGCCTCAAGAGCTGAAGAGCAGGGAAGGACGGCCCAGGAAGCGAGCAGGGGCCCACGTGCACTTGGCCCTTCCTCCTGCACCTCCCCTCCCCCCTCCCTGCCCTCCTCTGTCCTCTCACGCTCTGCCCACTCTCTTGCGCTCTCTTCAGATTTAGACATGGCTCGAGAGCCCAGCCCCGGCCCTGTCCGGCCAGGCCAGAAGAGGCAGTGGGACACAGTCACCTCCTGGTGAGTCTGCCTGCTGAGGAGGGAGGCTTGTTTGGGGCTCTGGGTTCTCCTGGGTTGGGACAAGGACCCCAACGTAGGCTGCCTATCCCAGTAACTGGTGCCTGAGGTCCTTTCTTCCCGGACCTTGGGTTTTGTCTGTAAGACCCCATCTCGCTGATGTCACCCAGCCCCCTCCTGCAGGAGGCTGGGTGACCCTCCTCCCACCCGAAGCCTCACCCAGGGGGGTACTTGGGGGGCATTTTCCAGGTATAGGTGTTTGGGAAGTGACAAATGAGAAAATTTCTGGATGAAATCTTAACAGTAACTTGGGAAGCTTAAAAAATATCTTTAAGAAACCTTTAAGCATTTTCAGAAAGGAGGCGACCAACCTCTGCCAGCCAATGTGCCACTTTCACAGGCACCAGGCAGGTGTGCGAACACGGCGGGCCCCGGGCCCCTTGGTGGGCACATGTGACGGTCGGGCTGAGTGCCAGGCCCTCCGATGGGCACCCGGGGGTTCCTGTCTGGCCAGTGGGGGAGGCGGAAGGCGGTGAGCAGGTGGTCACTCAGGAACGACATGTGTGCAAACGCCCTAGTGCCAAAGGTGCCGGCTCTTTCGCGCTTTGCTCGGCTGTGTGTCCGGAAGTGGGACGCCAGGGCCGGGCGGGGGCCGCTCTGACAAGTCTCTGCACCTGCAGGCTGACCCGGAGAGAGGTCAGGCCCACCCTCTCCCTGCGGGCACAGCCTGAGGGTCCGTGGCACCCACTGAATGCCAGTGTGGGCGACTTTTCCCCGGCATTTGTTTCGAGCTATGAATAGATGTGCACTTGTGAGTAACCCAGTGCTTTCAACTTGCGTTTCTGCCATGATGCAGAACTGCACCTCCGGTGTGTTGGTCAGCTGTCTCCCGTGGTGAGAGACGCCTATCTAGGGAAGTCTGTCCATCTGGTTTTGTGAGTATCTGCCTGCTGGGAGGTGAGGGGCTCTGCCCCAAGTCCTCCCACATGTTTAAACCCAAACCCACTGGAGGCTGAGCAAACCCCTTAGTCAGTTCTTTAGCCCCAAGTACCACCTTCAGAATTCGTGCTCCTCCAGCACCGTGCCCTGGCCCAATGAGCTCGGAGCCAGCCCCGCTGGCCCTCTGAGAGGTGCGAGTCAGCAATGGGAGCAGCGGGGAGTGATGACAGTTGTCCCGCGGGGGCTCGGGCTTGACTCCACAGTCAAAGCCCGGCAGTGGTGACCTCCTTAAGAGCCGTGTGTCACCAGGGGACTCCAGTGGGCAGAATGAACACTTCCCTGGGGCTTGGGGGAGCAGTGGGTGGGCAGCTACAGCTCTGACCCCCTGGGATATTGCCCAGAGGAGGGGCAGATTCAGGGTGTGGTTTGGCGGCCACTGAGTGGCCAGATGAGGCCAGGAGTCCAGGGCACAGGCCTCAGCCCTGGCTGATGGCTGAGAGAAGGTGGGGGCAGGCAGAGCAGGGAGACCCCCGGCCAGAGAGAGACACCCCCCGTGTGTAGCAAGTGCTGCTGTGACAGTTCATGCGGCTGAGCCCCCAGCCCCCCAACCCCCCAACCCGCTCTGTCTGTTTCTGTTCGGGAGCACAGCTCCCAAGTCTGTGCTCAGTGGTCAGCGAAATACTATTTCTTTACCATCCAATTAGAATGTCACTTCAGAAAAAATGTAATAAAGGGGGGGGGAAGAATTCCTCTTTGCATTGGCCAGGAATTAGATCCAGGACTCCTGGGTGGCAGGCGAGCACTCTGTTACTGGGCCACCACCGATGCTACAGTGAGGAAAACTTCGCTGAGGCAGTTCAGGTGGTCCGCTCAGTCCGGGCGAGAGCGCTCCAACCAGCCCGAGGGGGCTCGGACAAGCGAGTGTTTTCTCGGAGAGACGGTGCTCTGCTGAAACTTGTCTCCTCCAGCCCGGTCCCAGCTGGCCGTTTCTAGCCACCACCTGGGACCCAGACCTGACCCTGCAGCCCTCCCCAGACTCCGCTGGCTCACTCTCCCTTCTCCAAGGACAGGCCTCCCACCCCCGGAATCAGCATCCCTGAGGTTTTCAGGCCGCCCGCCCAGCCTGCCTGATGCCAGAAATGGGGGGAGTGGTGTGGAGGGCAGGGTGGCCAGAAATCTCACTTGCAGGCCTGGAAACCCTGTGGGATAAAGGGGAAGGCACCCCCAGTGTCCTCCATTCTGCCTCAGTGGCCCCAATAGGCTTCGCCCCTCGTGGGCTGGGCCTGAGCTGGGTCATGGGCACTTAATACCATAAGTTGTTTCAGAAGCTGCTGCCCCCAGTTCCTCACATTTCCCCCTCAATTCAGCGCCTGAAGCTCCAGTAGCTGCGTCCCCACAGGGACCTTTTGCCCAGGCCAGGACCCAGCTGTCTCTCTGCATAGGTCTCCCCATCCCCCTGGGTACCAGGAGGTGGTGGTACATTGAGAAAAGTGGGTGAGGCCAGCAGTGAGAACCTGGGGCCTTCCAGGCTGGTCCTTTCTCCCAGGGCCTGGAGCAAAGGGCAAGCCGGCCTGGCCACACCCCCAGCCTGCCTGGATTGCTGGTGTGCTGGGCCCGGCATCCTGGTGATTTTTACCCAAGGATTAAAGGCTCTCACACTCCCACCATGGCTTTGGGCCCTGACTTAACTTTCTCCTTTCATCCCTTGCCAGAGTGAGATCCAGAATGTCAGCAGTGCCTGGGGCAGGCCGAGGAGCTTTGGGAGGGCCTGGCTCTGGCTGGCCAGAAGCCCGAGAGCGATTTCCCCTTCCTGCCGCCTGGAAGGTCCCCCTTATGAGGCCAGCCATGGGGAAGGTGATTTGCTATGGTCTCCCAAAGTGACCTTGGTCAAGTCCCTAGGGGCTCTTCCAGTGGAGAATCCTGGGATTCTAAGGAAAAGCTTCATACCTGTTTTCCCAAGTTAAGCTGTGGCTGGACATGGACTCTGGCCCAGGACAGTGATCCTCCCCCATTTGTCTCTGCTGCAGCAGCAGTAACTGTGACCTGGACTACAAGCTGTACCAGGAAGATGTTCCCCACAGGTGAGTGGGTCCTGCCTCCTTGGTCCTCTGGGTGAACAGGAGGGGTGGGTTGGCCTGACTCCCTGTCCTGTCCCATAGGGTGTATGAATACCAGTGGGTCCCTCCACTCATCAACCACGTGCCTGTCAAGATCGGGAGGACCCACAAAGGAATGGGGGTCAAGAGAAGCTTCAGTTCCCACAAGGCCCCCAGGAAGAGCCACGTGCCCCAAGGACACAAAAGCAGCGAGCGAAGGGGTGCAGCCCTCATCCGCATGGCTAGGGAGGGGCTGGGCCTCAAGGGCCTGGTGGAAAGCCCAGCTCCAGGCCCCCTAGCGGCAGGCCAGCCAGAGGCATTGCACTCTATTAGGGGGGAGCTGAGCCGGATCAAAGCCCAGGTGGACCGCCTGCTGGAGCGCCTGGAGCACATGGACCAGCTGCCAGGTCAGGCCCCCCACACCCTTAGTGGTGTCCAGCTCTGCCTACTCCTGAAGGAGCGAGGGGTACCTGCCCTCCCTATTGGCAGGGCCCCCCCAACTCTCCCCACCACCCATTCCTTCTGGCTGTTACTGTGGCTTGAGGATCCTTGTGGCTTCCTGGTGGTCCTATGACCCCCACCAACTCTGGAGACATCTGGAGCCAGAGGAGCATCCCAGCCCAAACCCATCTTGTCCCCTCAAGCCCTGGACACTCTCCATTAGTGCTGGGCAGCCAGTGGCCTCTCTGGGACCAGCTGGGGCCACCGAACCCAGCCATTAGCTGGTGACTCTCCCTGCACAGGAACAGAGGATGGTGAAGACAACAGGGGCCCTGGGGTTAAGGGTTCCTCGCACAGCACCACTGAACCCCAGCAAGAGCCCAGGGGCTGCAGAGCCCATCAAGAGGCAGGCAGCCCCCAGGACAGCAGGGACCCGGAGGAAGTAAGTGGCCTCGCACCTCCCACAACCTCACCCTCCTGTATTTGAGTCCTGAGGCCTCTCTGTGAGCAAGGGAGGGACCAGGCTTTGTGTGGGAGCCCAGAGAGGTGGATGGGGCATCACCCCCAACCAGCAATGCCCAGAATAGAGCCTGTGCCCTGCTTATCCCCTCGACTCAGGCTTGGCTGGTCAGCTGGGCCACTTGTGGGCTGAAATCCCATCTCCTCCTAGAAGAGGGGCACAGGCTTTGAGTATTGTAGAGGAAGTGTTGCAGGTATGCCTCACAGACCTGTCCTCTTGCCTTAGAACCACCTGGTAAGCTTGTTAAAACCCCAGCATCTGCCCTTTTCCTGCGCCTGTCCCCCACTTGCTGCTCCATCTAGGCTGTCTAGCATGCTCGCCAGGAAAGCTGTGGAAAAATACCTTCCTGGACGGAGAGTATCCCAACCTGATCTGGTAACAGCTCTCAGTGCAGCATTCAAGAGCCCAAATGTACCCTGCCCTATCGTGTCCTCCTCCGCACTGGTGGTCCCATGTGGGGAGCTGGGCCTACCCCCACTGCCACTTGGGCCACCTCAGTGAGCCTGGGCCCCGGGGGAGCTGGCAGTGCAGAGCTTCCCCGCTTCTCTGCCTCCACCTGCTGACTTGACCCCTGGCCTGCTGGGCTCCTGAGGGCCCCTTCCCCCTGCCCAGGCCTGAGGCACATCTGGGAAGGCTGGACTAGATGGAGAGAATGCTTTTTCTCTGGTGATTCTGGGACCCCAAGTCTCAGGAAGAACCTGGAGTAGCACTGAGCTGCCACAGCTGCCCAGAGTGGCAGGGGTGGGGAAGCCTGGGCTCTGCCAGCAGAGGGCACTCCCACCCTGCCTCTGCTTCTGTTTGTCCTACAGGTGAAGAATCGTGCCTGGGACCAGGAGAGCAGCCAGTAGGTTATCCCCCCGCTCCAAGCTCATCTGCTCCAGGCACCGAGGCAGCAACCTTCCTTGCTCTCTGTGGGTTTTTAAGGCCTCCCAGTGGCACCCGTGTGACTGGAGGTAGCTATTCTGAAGTGAGGACCGTGACGTGGAGGCACGGCTCAGCCAGACCAGCTGGGAAGCCTCCCCATAATGGTGGCTGTGGAGGTCAGATCCAGACAACAGTCCGGGAGCTAGCAGGCGCAATGCAGAGCAGCTGCCCAGGGCCCCTGGGAGCACCGTCAGCCCCCTCCGACTGCAGGTACTGCTCAGATGCGCCCCCCTCGAGGCCCCACCAATCCTCTCAGGGTTGGGGCCTTCAGGGCAGTGGGCGCAGACAGCTTTCTCCAGCCTCAGTGGTGTACAGGGAAAACCTGCCCGTGCTCCTTCCTCTGAAACCGAGCTTTAAGGTCCTCAGCCCGTGCCCCACATAACACCTTCTGGTTCCAAATACCCCATCTACCCTACAAATCCATCCTTCAGAATAATGGTATCATTTTTATGTCCTGTTTCTATCTTGTCTCTTGCTGGTGTGATATTTTATATTTCAGTCTGCTCTGGAAATATGCATGTCAGAAGGGGAAAATAAAATTCATGTTTCTTCTCCCCGGTGAGGAATTCTTAGTGTGGTCTCTGAGCCTTATTCTGACGCTTGGGCTGCTCCAGGCCAGCCCTTCCTAGAGAAGCTGAGCAGGCCCAATGCCCAAGTTCAGAAGCTCATACCAAACCAGGGCACAGAGGGGAACAGGCTGCCCTGCCCTTCTCCAGTCCAGACCTGAGCACAAACCTGTGGGGCTCAGGACCACCCAGGAAGGTCCAACCCCTCTGGTCAGTCAGCCAGGGGGCTCTGCCCCACGGAATGGCAGCACCAGCTCTCACTCCTGACAGTTTATCAGCCCCCTCCCAGGAGCCGAGACTGGATAAGAGACACCACATGGTGAAGCCCGTCAAGACTCCCACCTCCTACAGCAGTGGAGGAGGCCTCTGCTGTGCTGCTCTGCACAAGGTCAAGGAAGCAGGGGACCTGGCTTCCACGGAGACCCAAACCCTTTCCAGCTACCCAACCCTGAGCTGTGGTCTTTCCCAGCACCAAACCAGGAGCTGAGGGTGCAGCCAGAATGTACCTGGGGCCACAAACCCCTCCCCACTCTGTCACCCCTCAGCATTAGCCCTGACTCTGGGACTTGAGCAGCTTTTCTCACAAAGCACATTTCCCTGTATCAGCCCCTGTGGCTTTTGTCTCAGCCTGTCCCTTCCTATGTTACACTAAGGGACAGCAGGACAACAAGAACACACTGCCCAACTCAGCAGAGTTGCTCTTTTAAATTCTGTACCAAGAAGAACCACAATAGAAGGCTTTTTCAGGTACAAAAGGGTTTGTGTTTTGTTTTAACTCAGATGTAAGTGAGAGGCACAGCCCCCTTGTCCGTTCTCTCAAAAGCAGCCCAGTTACATAGAAGGAAGTTATGACCAGCCTGCATAAGGTTCATCCCTCACAAAACAGCAGTACCTTCAGGTCCCGTTTTCCAGGTAGGCCCAGCTGAAGTCCTTTTCAACTTGGGAGTCGGACTGCATTCGTAGGTTTCTTAATTAGCTGGGGGCCAGCTCAAGCAGAAAAGCATCTTTAAGAGAACAGTTTCCAAAAAATCGTTCCAACGCAGCGGCCCAGATCATCAGTTCTGTGCCCGCGTCCCCAAATCCTCCCTCTTGCTCTGAGTTCTCAAGGCAGTGCAGTCTGGAAGGCGACTGTGCAGGTCCTTTGGGGGAGGAGAAGCATCTGTCACTCCTTTGGCTTCTTGTTCAGGACGGGGCAGCGGCGCCCCTCCGGCGGGCAGCCCGCACCAGGCACTGCTGCAGTACAGGATAGAGGCGCTGGCAGCCCTCGAGACCCAGGCGCACGGCCTCTACCCAGCTCTCAGTCGGGCCCCCCTCCCCACTGCCCAGCAGCCCGGCCACCTGGTTGAGCACCGGCATGAGCGCCACAGTGAGGCCAGCAGCGGCGCGCTCCTCCTCGAGCCGCGTGGGATCTAGCAGCCAGGTGGGCGCGGGCCCCGGCGCGCGGCTCAGGCCGCAGCCCACTACCAGGTCATACATCTCAATGCCTGCATCAGCCAGGGCGAGCGCGGAGGCCGTGAGCGCGGCTGCCAGAGCCGAGCCACCGTCTTCCAGCAGCAGAGCTGACACCTCGAGCTGCGCACGTGGGTAGCGGCACAGGCGTACGGCCGGCTCCAGAGCCTCCTGCAGGGCCAACGCCAGCTCGCGTTCCTCGCCACCGCCTTGGGGAGGGCGGCGCCGGCGGCCCGCAAAGGGTGCGCGGCGGAAGTCGCAGATCAGGCGTCCCCTCAGTGCGGCTGGGGCCTCGCCTCCTGCCCCGGCCGGGCCACCGCCGCGCTCGCCTCCCTCGACTTGGCGCGGGCCGGACACGGCACACAGCACCTTAGTGCCTCCCGCCTCCAGGTAGGCCGAGCCCTTGGCCTGGCTCAGCAGCCCAGAGCGCGCGTACACGGGCCGCAGCCGAGTTGGGTCACGGGCGTCGGGCTCCTCGTCCTCATCCGCCGCGTACAGCTGCGGCGGTTGCGACTCTTCGGGCCCGCGGATGCGGCGGTGGTCCCCGGGCATGGCTGCGCTGGGCTAGCTAGCCGCTTCCGCCGAGCGCCCTCGCGAGGGCTGTCGGGATAGCGACAAACGGCGCCGCAGCGCCGCCTATCATCACGGAGGGAGAACGGCGGGCGCTGCACAGCTCCGGTGCTGCTGCAAAGGACGCCTGCGGCTCCGCGGATGGATTCACCTGGGCAGGTCTGCGTTAAGTAGGACCGGAGCTTGCCTGGAGACTTCTAGCTTCCCGGACCCGGGCCGACCTAGGGCGTACGTCTTTTTCCTTTCACTTGTGAAGACTGTAATTATTTTTATTTTAAAATTATTCGTGTGACTGTTTTATATTCCCCACTGCTTTGCCCAAGAGGGCAATGACGTTTTTGTCTTGGACACTCCTGTTTTCTCAGTACCCTCCCTGGCTGGCATAAACCCTCGTTGAATGATTAGAATGACGTCTCCCAGCCTGGAGTGCACGCTCTTGGTCCCCCGGCACTCCTCATTTGTCATGTGCTGGAATCCAGGGCTTCGGCCCCCTTCCTCTGCCTGTGACAGCTGGCCTCTGCTGCTTCTCTCAGCAGACCTGCTTTTCCCCGCGCGCCCTCCACGCCAGCTTGCCTGCTGTACCCAGGGGTCATATCAGCTGAAGCCAGCAGAGGTGCGCAGCACCTTTAGCCTCCCAGCACACTAATCTCCAAACCCAGGGGTCTTCACCAGGCTTGGGTGAACTGGTCCGGGGCCAGGTAGGGTCCCCATGCTCACTGTCCATCTTTGGGTCAAGAGCCATAGTATTTATTCTTCACCCAGGGACTCACCTGGGCTGTCACAAAGGGGGCACTGGGGGTGGGGGTAGGTAGGGTAGGAACAGAAATCACATAGCATCAAGCATTATTGCACATGGTCCTTTTATTTTCTGCAGCAAAAATGGTTCCTTCCTGCAGACCCAGAGCCTCGGGCTGGCAGAGGACTATTTACAGACATGAGCATGACGGTGATAGTGATCCTGGAACAGTGGTTCTACATTGATGGGGCAGAGGTGAAGGCTCCAGGCAAAAATGTAACGTGGGCATTGAGTCACAGGCTGGCACCCAACAGAGTTCCAGTTACTGCTGTGTTAGACAGACAGATGGGGCTATTTAAAGGTCCCAAGATTCAAATGTTCCTGTGGCAGATGGAGAGCTCCTGGCTGGACACATACATCCAGGTTTGGGGGAGACACTTCCCAGTGGAAGCCGCCTCTCCCCTTAATTCTTCACATCTCCTAGACGGAGCTGGGCAAAGGAAGTGGCCAGCTTCAGCGCCTCCTGCAGGCAGCCCACGTTCTTGCCTGTGGCCTGAGCAGACACATCTTTGCCACCACCTTTGCCATCCATCAGGCCTGACACCTGCTGCACCCACTCACTGGCTTTCAAGCCCCGGTTGGCTGCATTCTGGAAGACACGAAGGTGATGTGGGCATCAGGACAGAGGACGGGACTGAGGAAGGTATGGAGAGGGGAGGGAAAGAAAAAGGATGGAAGAACCACAGGCACCCACTCCTGCCCTGGGTGATGCTGCTGGAGGCTGAGACAGACCCTAAAGGGGTACCATGGTTAAGACAAGGCATCCTGAGTGACAAACCCAGGTATCAACCAGCATAGTTACACACCCACCAAGGAGAAGGCCTAAGGGGTGCTAGAGGTCACCAACAGGTGGGCAGGAGAAGGGCCATTTCTAACTGGGGTTGCGCAAACAACCCTAAGAGCCGAGCTCCCTCATTAAAGCTGCGGACACCACTTCCCCCTGGCATGGAGCTGCAGGGCCCGAGACATGGCGGCAGCCTGTTCTGACCTGAGGGACTTGGCACAAGCACGTGATCTTGCCAGCCTCATTATCCACTGTGAAGAGCATGGCAGCCGTCTGTGGAGAATGCATCTTAAAGAGCTTCAAGGCTTCATTCAGAGCCTGTGGGAGAACCTGGAATCAGACCATGGCCCTAGGGAAGGGGGCCACTCTCACCATAAGTGCAGCGAGTCTGCAGAGCTCAGGTCTCAGAGCACTTCCTGAACCCCACCCCTGGCCCCCTTCCTAGAGTAGGTGCTGGTCCTAGGAGCCTGCACGGAGAGGGACCCAAGCACAGGGCCTGGCCCACACTGACTCTCTAAGGTTTGCCTTCCATCCCAGGAGCCACTGCTCTCCAGCCACCATGGCTCAGCCTCACCCCACCCCCAGAGTGTGGGCCCTCAGGTGACCACTCCACTCAGAGCCACTAAGCTCAGACTTCAGCCACCAGAGGGCTAGTGAGAGGAGGAGACAAGCAGCAGAAGGGCACAGAGTAGTGCCTAGAGCCCCAGCCCCTGGGTTGCCTTGGCTGACGCGCCGCTCTCCATCTCCAGGATGACGAGGGGCTGGTTGGGGTTGCTGTCAATGAGCTGCTTTGTCTTCTCCAACACCTGTGAGGAAGGAAGTCCAGAAGAGAGGAGGTCTCAGGACCACAGCCCAGACTGCGACCCAGACAGCAGTCTGCACAGACTTTGCTGGTAAAGCCCCTGGGGTCCCTGCCGGCCACCAGCACTGCCAGGACTCACTCGCTTCTGGACATCAGCTTTGCTAGCCCGGTCCAGGTCATCCATGATCTTCTTCAGGGATTTAAGACTCTCCCGGAGTTCATCCTTCTGCCACTGGGGGATGACTGCGGTGGCCAGGGCCTGGAACCAGAACCAGAGGGCCACTCGGATAGAACCACAGGACCAGGACGTGAGGCTCCAGCCCAGTCCGGCCCACTCTTCGAGCTTTGAACACCAAAGTCCTCCCAATTAGTATCCAGAAGGAGAAAACAAAAAAAAAAGGTATCCTGGCACTGAGACCAGTCACTCTGCGAGTAATTACAGCAGTTTTAATGAACAGGGCTGGAGAGGAAGAGGCAGAATAAAGAGCTGGGAGCCCTGTAAGTCCTGGTCCTTTACCAGGCAGTGAACACAGCCCGTGAAGGGCTTACTGGAAATCCCAGAATATTAAGAAACACCAGAAGGCCTGGAATCTGGACGTCCACGGCACCTGCCCAACTTCCCCAACACCAGGGCCCACTCATGCTTGGGATGGGCTCCCCTCCTACTGGCAATGGGGGCAGCAGGCAGGTTCCAGGAGTCTGCAGGCCTGGATCCATGGACTCCCTATTGCAAGGCTGCAGGACAGCAGAAGTCCTACAGGACCAGTGCACCGAGCACCAAGACTTGGTTCTTTCAGAACAGGGTGCGTCCGATTCACCAGGCCCAGGACCCAGCACTGAGCAGGCCCTAAGGAAAGAGGGAAGCCACCGTACCTCACCGAGGTCCGCAACCTCCCTCTGCACGTCCTTGTTTGGCGCAGTCTGGGCCTTCACTTTGGCCTCCATGACACAGAGGGATTTCTTCAAACTCTCTGCTTTCCTGAGGGCCTGAGAGGGGGACAGTCAGGGTGAAAACTCCCGGTAACTTTCAGCTTCACTATTCTGTCTGTAGACAACTGTGGCCAACACTGATGAGAGGCTATGGAATAACACATCCCTAAGACACCAGAAGTTTCTCTTCCTTCAGGAAGCCGCTGTCCCAAGAAAGGAGCCCCTTCCTGCCATGCTGGCCAGCAGAAAGGCTACACTAACTCAGCTTCAGGGGGAAACTGAGAACTCATAAGTCAGGCGCCTTTCTCACCCCACCGGGCTGCAGCACACTTCAGGCACAAGCTACAGTCCCCGCCCCAAGCAGCTGTCCCCATCTGGAACTAGACGCACACGCTCGGGGAGCTGTGGCTGAGTGCTGGGGGCAGTAGAAGCCAAGACAAAACTACCACGTACCCTCCCAGGCACAATATGTTACTGGGTGGAAGGCAGGATTCATACATGCTTTGAAGATTAAACCCAAAATAGCTATAAAGTCTTCTGCACTGGTGGCTCTCTCCTGCCAGGTAGGGGTAACTGGAGGACATTTTGGGGGTAGCCCTATACTTCTGCTGCAGCAGCCACGTGACCATCTGCACTACACATCTGCAGATTAAGCTCCTCTTGTTCAAATTAAGCCGGGAACCAGCCTGATCTGCTCACCTTCTGGGCTTCAGCACCCGTGACCGCCACAATCCTCCGGATGCCCTTGGCAATAGCTTCTTCGCTCACAATCACAAAAGCTCCCGCATGACTTGAATTCTGCAGGTGCCTGATGGCGGAACACAAAGTCTGTGGTCACGAGGAAGTGTAGTTGCCGTGCTCCCCACTGCACCCCCCGGCTCTATGGCCCTGGGCCTCCCTCCCAGGTAGCTGCTTCCAGCAAAGCTCCCACGGGGGGCAGTGGGAAAAGGCCCTTCGTGTCTGAGGGAATTTCTACATCCAGCTCTGGCCCTGAAGGGGACGAGAAGGCCTGGGGTGACAGCGGTGACGCTGAGCAAGACACCACCTTTCTGAGCCTCCGCTTTCTCACATATGAATGGGTGTTATGCTCCCTCACCCACTTGATCTGTGGGATGTTGCAAAAATGAAATGAAATGAAACGAACGTGCATGCAGTCCCTAACACCCAACACATCACCACCACTGGTGGGCTCTACATTCATTCACGTTTTTGGCACTCTCTGGCAGAACATAAGTATATTCTTCTATCCCAGCTCACTAGCTGAGAATACTGGAGAGAACCCTTAAAATCTTACCACAACCCCTTGAACAAACAGGCTTTGTCCCCCAGTTGCTCTGAGAATCTCAAATGTTCGCCGCCTCCCAGCTGCTCGGTGAGGGTGGCACAGGGCCATCGGAGGCTGTGCTCCGGGCTCTGAAGAGTGTGTGCGTGGTGTGGAGGCAGCAGCGGGCCTGGAACTTGGCCCCCAGGTCCCCACCCCGCCCTCCACACGCCCTCCTGTTCCCTGCCTTCCCGAGACCTGCAGGAGGCCCTGGATGGGCTTGCCATGGCCCTAAGGTTTTTACCAGGCTTCTTTTGGAAGCAGGAATTTTCCAGGCCACCAGACTGTCCCAGAAGACTCCATGGAGGTTCCGAGTGCCATGGAGGAATTCAGGTTGGCAGAAATCAGTGGCTGTCCCAAGCCAAACTAAGCTGGGCCTAC